CTTACTAACTGTTCTTATAGCTTAAATTAATCCATTTCCATAAATCTATACCTTGCCACGTGGCTTGTGGCTTTCCAGCATCTTCACATGCAGATTGTCCTTGCAGGGGCTGGCAGTGATTCTGACTCAGCCTTCAATTTCCCAGAATTCTCCTCCTTGTCCCACCTATACTTCCTCCTGCCTGACTACTCTCCAATCAGTGTTGTATTTACTAACTAATCAGAGCAACACATTTGCCATACAGAACAGCCCACAGCAATTGGGTTTCGAAGTTGTTGGGTTTCACAGGATCAGCAGCTGGGCCCTGGTTGGCCTCAGAGTGTTCAGATCCGTTCTGGTTCTGTCCCACAGAGATGGCTCCTTCCCTGGGTGTTGGGATTAAAGGCATCCCTGTTCCAAACTCTTGATTAAGAGCTTGTTTTCACTAACTCTTTAGTGGGTAATAGCTCAGTTTCTGGTCTTGATTGCAACTGTGTTTGAGCTGCCACCCGCTGCCGTGCCTGCCTGCCTGCCTGCCTGCCTCTGTGGGGTTTTTTTTGTTTTGTTTTGTTATTTTGATTTTTCGAGACAGGGTTTCTCTGTGTAGCTTCACACCTTTCCTGAAACTCACTGTAGCCCACACAGGCCTCGAACTCACAGATATCCGCCTGCCTCTGCCTCCCGAGTGCTAGGATTAAAGGCGTGCGCCGCCACCGTCGCCGCCGCCACCGCCGCCGCCGCCACCGCCGCCTGGCTCTTCTGTGGATATTGAAAAATATCCAGAACAAACTATACTTGTGTAGTTAATAAAGTCTTAAAATATTATTTTAGCTTTTTCAGAATTGTGTGCTCTTAAGTAGGTTTTAAGCTCTGAACATTGTTCTTTTTTTTTATTTTTTTTCAAATTTGTAGGCAGAACAGATTGTGTATGATCGTTTTTCTGACCCCAAGTTTGTCGAGCAGTTAATTACTTTTCTATCTTTAGAAGACAGAAAAGGAAGAGATAAGTTTAGTCCTCGGCGTTTTTGCCTCTTTAAGGTAATTGTGCTTCATGTACTCTTTTTATAAAGTTTAGTGATTATCAGTTTATATACTTATAAGTTTCAAATATTTGATTAAAATTTGAACTTACCTATTATCTTCTTTAGTCTAAAGTGATACTGAAATTAAATATGAAATTAAAGTAATACTTAATGTGGCTTTATTAAAGGCAAACTTTTAATTTATTGATGGCACTAGAAACAAAAATGTATTTTAATATAAAGTTGCAATATCTTACCATTATAACTAATGTTATTAAAGAATTTAAATTCTAATGGGTAGAATAATGTATACAGTAATACCAAACTTAATTATCAAGATAATAGCCATTTCAATACTGAGTTAACTTTTTCTTTGTTTTTATAGGGTATATTTAGAAATTTTGATGATGCCTTTCTGCCTGTTCTAAAGCCCCATTTAGAACGTTTGGTTGCAGATTCTCATGAAAGTACCCAGAGATGTGTTGCAGAAATTATTGCTGGTTTAATCAGAGGTTCTAAGCATTGGACATTTGAGAAGGTGATGATGTCATCCATTTGTGGAGGGTTTTGTTTCCTTTTGGGATTTGTTTATCCACCACATACCAGGAATGGGGAAGCAGTAGCAGGAGGAGCTAGAGTTCAAGGCCAGCCTGGGCTACATGAGACCTTGTCTGAAGAACAGGAAAAAAAAAAGTAGCAAACAACATCATATTTATGATATTGCTTCCTGAAATATGAAAAGTTCAACTCCATAAAATGTGCCAAGAAATGGAACCTGGTGATGTGTTTTCAGTTGGTAGGGTGTTTTGTCATGCACAGAGCCCTCTGTTAGATCCTAAGACTTGGTGATATATGGGCCTAAACATTCTGGAGGTGGAAAGCAAGAAGATCAAAAATTCAAAGTCATCCTCTGCTACATCCGCAAGTTTGAGGATAGCCAGGGATACATGAAACACTGCTAGGATTAAAGGTGTGTACCACCACTCCTAGCTTAAAATAAATGAAATCTTAAAAAACAAAACCCAGAAAACTGGTTTCTCTCAAAAAGGAGATTTAAACATAACACACACATCCTCTCTTAGTAGAACTGCTGTTGAATTTGCTTTTCCAAAACACGTTTTTTAAAAAAAAAAAATCTTTGGTACCTTTTATCTTGAATACTACCTCCCTATTTGTTTTTTTAAAACTGAAGTGCATGGCTGTGCAGTGCGGTCATTGCGTGTGAAGTTGTTGGAAAAGGAAGGTGTCAGTTTCTCCTTGAGATTAATCAAAGTCTATCTTTTCAAGATCACAAGTGTGGTTTGTGTGCTCATTGGACTTTTGGAACCACAAACATGTTCAGTCCTTGATTGTCACAATTTGAATTGAAGGTCACACCTAAAGTGTGTCATATTGGAGCACCCATACTTCCTACTCAGGTTTTCTTTTGCCCAGTATGTTAGCTGTATTATTCAAAAGTTTTTGTTTGTTTTTTAAATTTTTACCCTGTAGGAAAGATTTTATAAGGAACCATATAAAGTTTCCCCTCTTTTCTGAATGATATTCTGAGAAATAAATTGAACTATACACTCTATGTCATATATAACTTATATACTACATTATATGAGTTGTAACATAGTAAGATCCCTTACTTGGGTAATCTACAAAGTCCTGTCCTGTTTGTGTGTATGTATTTCCAGGAGCTAATTTCATAATGTGTCCGCTACTAACGTTCCTATGTTTTACTTTGAGAAGGTGGAGAAGCTTTGGGAGCTCCTATGCCCGCTGCTGAGAACAGCGCTGTCCAACATGACAGTGGAGACATACAACGACTGGGGAACCTGCATAGCCACATCATGTGTAAGCACACATTCTGCTTGTTTACCTTATGGGGTATTGTGCTTTTATATTGTATTAGATCCTTTGTCCCCCTTGGAACCTTGACAGTTCATTCATGCCTTTTGTTGTTTATAATTGATGGTGCCTTCCCAGCAGCCCCTGAGTATAACTCTGGTTCTGATGTCTATTTTGTCATAGTAATACATTTTTAAATCTACACATCAAACCATGTTTTGGGAAATGTAGTTTACACATAGTAAAAGCCATGTAATTGTTATGTGTGTTGTTAATACCACCTGTGCCTGTTGCTCATGTGCTTCTATTTAAGTTGTCTATTTTGCTAATAATATTCTCTATATTAACAAAAATAATGATAACTAAATTTCTGTTTGACTCCCCAGTTTTAGTTGGATTGTTTCTTACATACTTACTTGTAATATAATTGAGTGTGATTGATTTACAGAGTTAATTCTTTTGCCTAATTATTAATTTATATCTTCAACACAGGAAAGCAGAGATCCCCGGAAGCTTCATTGGCTTTTTGAGTTGCTCTTGGAGTCACCATTGAGTGGTGAAGGGGGGTCCTTTGTAGATGCATGGTAAATAAAAAGAAAACCTCTAAGGTTGACATTAAAGATTTTATATTAACTAATGAATAAATGGAGATGAGTTATTAGGCATGGTGTTATACACCTGTAATTTCTGCACTAGGGAGATGATGGAGAGGATCATGAGTTTGTGGCCAGCCTAGGCTATTATACCAAGTTCCAGGCCACCTAGGATTATATAGCATGAGCAAGTCTCAGAACAAAACCAAAGTCTCAAAGCAAAAGAAAGACAGAAAATGAAATATCCAAGTGCTAAATTAAATGATGAATTTCTTTTGGGGGTTGTGGTGCTTAGTTGTCATTTTGTAAGCAAGGTACCAACTACAACTTAAGTCATTCATCCTTTTGTGCTGCCAGTTTTTGAGGGGCCATACTGACTTCTTTGTCATAATCTGATGTTTCATTTTCTTTTCTATTGCCAAACGTACAAAGCAGAGGGGCTGGAGTACAGTATAGTGGTCAAGTGCTTGCCTAACATACCCTGTATTGCTAAAGAAACAAGGCAGATATAAAGGAGGCCTTACTTGGCAGATGCTTGTGAAGGTGGAGAAAAGCCAGAGCAATTGAAAAATGATAAAGGAAACCCTCATTAAAATGTTCAGGTGCCTGTGAGATAGCTTAGCTAATATAGGCCTACAAGCCTGACCATCTGAATTCAATCCCTGGGACCCACATGGTGAAAGGAGACATACATAGTCTGACACACACATATGAAAGAAGGCATATGATGGGGCTAGTGAGATGGCTGACCTGGGTTTGATTTCCAAAACCATCATGGTTGAAGAAGAAAACAGACTCTTGAAAGTTGTTTTCTGACCTTCACCCTCATGCTGTGGCATGCATGTATCCCCAGCCAGGCCACTCCCCCGCTAGCCAGGCCACTCCCCCACTCACCCTACCTCTACTACACACTAAATAATGTTTTAAAAAAGAAAGGTCAATGGTTATTCTTTTTTCAAACTTAATAGTAGTAAGTATACCAATACTAAAAATAGTTTGAAAATTTTTTTAATGTAGTAAATATAAAAAGTAGGTTGAACATATTTTTAAAGATTTATTTATTTATTTTGTATAGTGTTCTGCCTGCATGTATGCCTGCAGGCCAGAAGAGGGCACAAGATCTTATTACAGATGGTTGTGAGCCACCATGTGGTTGCTGGGAATTGAACTCAGGACCTTTGGAAGAACAGCCCGTGCTCTTAACCTCTGAGCCATCTCTCCAGCCCTGAACATATTTTTAAAAGAAAAAGCATATAGAAAAAGGGATGTGGAAGGCAATTCATCAAATGTTACTATTTTGAACTGTGGATAATTTATTTAGTGAGAAGAAGCTATTTATGCTGATCTAAGAGAAAGCAGGAAAATATTGAAATGGAATAAATGCTTTATACTCTTAGCATAGAAAAACAGAGTATAACACAATGTTTCTGTCCTATAATTGTAGCCGACTCTATGTGCTGCAAGGTGGCCTTGCCCAGCAAGAATGGAGAGTCCCGGAGCTATTACACAGACTTCTGAAGTACTTGGAACCAAAACTCACCCAGGTTTACAAAAATGTCAGAGAAAGAATAGGGAGGTATGTGTGGCTTTTTTCTCTTGCTTTGGAGTAGCTCTTGAGTCTTTGTATTAAATTTTAATATCTAACAGTACATACTATTCATATTACCAGTGAGTGTGGTGTTGTCTTCCTCATGTTTTGTTCACTGTTATGTTCTGAAAAACAAGACATGAATATAAATTAGGAAGCCATGGACTCAAAAGCTATCAGTGAGCAACTGTCATACTACAGGTTTGATCTCAGAATTATATGGCATGTTTTACACTGGGAAAGATCTAAGACACTCTCTGGTAATTATCTTGTGAAAATTTGCTTTGGTTGAGCTGTAACTTTTAAACCTCAGTTTTAATTCTCATGCCAGACTGCCTACTCTTGTTCATTTTATTTAACAGTGTGCTGACCTACATATTCATGATAGATGTTTCTTTGCCAAATACTGCACCAACAACATCCCCTTGTATCCCCGAGTTTACTGCTCGAGTCCTAGAAAAACTGAAACCCCTCACTGATGTGGATGAAGAAATTCAGAACCATGTTATGGAAGAAAATGGTGTTGGTGAAGAAGATGAACGAACTCAGGGCATTAAACTCTTAAAAACCAGTGAGTCTTAAAATTGATAGAAATACACTTGAAAATGCCATTTTAGTTAATTCACACGCATACTTTTTTTTTTCTTTTGATAACAAGTGTAAGTTTTCTGATTTTAACCTTTTTATTCAGTTTGTTTTGGGTTTTGTTTGTTTGTTTGTTTTTTTGAGACCTTGTCTCACCATATAGCCTCAGCTATCCTGGAACTCACTGAGTAGACTGGGCTGGCCTTAAACTCATAGAGATCCACCTGCCTCTGCCTCTGCGTCTGCCTCCCAATATGCCACCATGCCCGGGTTTTTCTCCATTTGTTTTTTTTAATCATGATATTTTGCTTATTTTGAATTGTAGTTCTTTATATCTTCTTGCTGTTACTTGCTGGGACTAAAGGCATGCACCACCACACCAAGCAATTTTATCCATTTTTGAGTGTACGGTTTAAAGTCCACACTCCACCCATCTCTAGAATTCTCTTCTTGGCAAGCTAAAAATCTGCACCCATTTCACAGTAACTTCTCCCTCCCATGTTCCTAGCCCCAAATAGCCACCACTTAACTTTCTGTCTTTGAAGTTTGTCTTTATTCTAGGTGGCTCATATCAGTCAAATTGGCTGTTTTATCTCTGGCATATTTCACTCCGCAAAATATTTTGTGATTATTCCATTGTCTTAGTAAGGGTTTCTATGGCTGTGAAGAGACACCATGACACTACTCTTATAAAAGAAAACAATTGTGATGGCTTACATGTTCAGAGGTTTAGTCCATTATCATCATGGTGGGAATATTGGCAGCATGCAGGCAGACATGGTATTGGAGAGAGTGAGCTGAGCCACTGAGCCTGGCTTGAGCTTCTTGAAAACTCAAAGTCATACCTGCTCTAACTAACAAGATGATATCCATGTCATCAGCAAGAAAGTTATTTCTACTGCATTTCCTTTATGTATTCTTTGTTGACATTTGAGTTTTTATCACCTTTTGACTGTTATTTAAAAATGCCATTCTTATCATTAATATTGGTTCTTTTGAGATGGGGTCTCACTGTATAGCTCTGGCTGGCCTGGAACTTAGCTTGTAGACCAGGTTAGTTTTACCTGCCTCTGTCTCTGATGTGCTAGATTTAAAGGCTTGTTTTAGCATGCCTGACCTGACCATTGATGTGTTAAGTATCTATTAGGGTCGTTGTTTTCAATTTTTGTGTATACCTGAATAGGGGTGCTGGACTATGTAGTACTTCTGTGCTTACTTGTGAGGTGTGCTGACTGTTTTCTTCAGTGGCCACCTGTTTTACAGTCTAGTCATCAAATGTCCCATATCCTTGTCTACTCCATACTTTTTGTTTTCTAAGTGGGTGCCACTTATTCTAATGGGTTTGAAAAGTTGTAATTTTGATTTGTATTTACCTGGTGAGAAATGGTGTTTATCATCTTTTTATGTGCTTAATTGTCTATTTTCTTTGGAGAAAGCTTTTTTTGACTTGGTTTGTTTTTTTGTTTGTTTGTTCATTTTGTTTTTAAATACAGTGTTTCTCTATGTGGTCTTGGCTGTCCTGTAACCAAGTGTGTAGACCAGCCTAGCCTCAAACTCATAGAAATCTTCCTGCCTCTGCCTCTCAAAAGTGTCACCATGCCTGACTTTTCTCCATTTTTTTTAAATCATGATATTTTGTTGATTTAAGTTCTTGCTTTTATTACTTTATCAGGTAGATGGTTTATAAATATTTTCTCCTGTGAATGTATATTCTCTCTTCCTCACTTTCCTTCCCCTTCCCTCTCTTTCAAATTTTGGTTTTATTATTGTTGTTTTTTTGGTTTTGTTTGGTTTGATTTTTTTTGATACAGGATCCTACTCTGTGGGGCCTGCTACTGCCTCCTCAATGCTGGATTTAAAGGCATTTGCCATTATTGGTTGACTTTTTTTGATCTTTTTAAAATTCACTTTGGGCTCATATTTAGGTCCTTAGTACACCTTGAGTTAGTTTCAGTATGTATTATAAAGTTAGAGTCTAGCTTTATTGCTTAGAATATAGACATTCACTTTTCTCAGCATTGCTTGTTGCAAACTGTTTTCTATTCACTTGCTTTGGTCTTCTTGATCAACACACATTTTAAGGGTTTATTTCTGCATTCTGTTGTATTCTATTGGTTTGTGTGTCTACCCTTATGTGAGTGCTATACTATTAATTTTGTGTGTTTGTAGTAAGTTTTTAAATCAGCAAGTCTTAATGTTTTCAAGATATTTTGGCTACTCAAGTGTCTTAGGATTTCTATAGCTGTGAAGAAACACCATGACCATGGCAACTCTTATAAAGGAAAACATTTAGCTGAAGCTAGCTTGCAGTTTCAGAGGTTTAGTCCATTATCATCATGGTGATAAGTGTGGCAGCACGCAAGCAGACATCATGCTGGAGAAGGAGCTGAGAGTTCTATATCTTGATCCACAGACAACAGAAAGTGAACTGAGTTTACACTGAGCATAGCTTGCTCATAGGAGACCTCAAAGCCCACCCCACGGTGACACGCTTCCTTCAGCAAGGCCATACCTGCCTCAACAAAGCCTTGCATCCTAATAATGCCACTCTCTATGAGCTTATGGGAACCAGTTACATTCAAACTGCCACACAGGATATTCTTTTTAGTAGATTAAAAAAAAATTGTAAGGATTTTAGCTATAAGCTACTCTGTCATTATCTTAACTACCTCAAGATTCTTGGCTAGTCTGAAATACATTAAAAGTACTTGGTAGGCTATTAATAATTTGTAGATTTTTTTTCTGCCCTTAGTACTCTCAGTTACTTGATGGACATTACCATAGGTGCTGTTAGACTGCTAATAAATCATTCTGATTTGAGATACTGTAGCTACTCTTACATTTAAAGAGCTGTCAGGGGCATCATTCTTCATGGTCCCTAATTTGATAGCTTGGCTGATTCTGTGTGTTTGTTTCCAAATAGTATTGAAATGGCTTATGGCAAGTGCAGGAAGATCTTTTTCTACAGCAGTCAAAGAACAACTTCAGCTTCTGCCTTTGTTCTTTAAGGTAAGACTGTAAGTTGAAATGAAGAATACCATTTCCTCTGGCCTTCCGAGGAAAGTTATAACCATCATCCAGTGGGTTGATATGTAGTGGTTGAATTTTGATTGCATCTCTAGATAGATTTTCACAAGTAATAGTAGTTAACACTGAAAATAAGTATATGTATATATATATATATATGTGTGTGTGTATATATATATACAAATAGTAATATATATACATGCATGTAATTACTATTCATATATATATATATACATACATACATACACACACACACATATACTATTATCTTAGTGGTAGATTACAGTGATGAGACACTATGACCATGGCAACTCTTATAAAAGAAAAGAAAGCATTTAACTAGGGCTTGCTTACAGTTTCAGAGAGTTAGTCCATTATCCTCATGGAGGGGAGCATGGCAGCATGCCAGCATACATGGTAGCTGAGTGTTCTACTTCCAAATCTGCAGGCAGCAAGAAGGCAAGCAAGCCACTGGGCCTGGCTTGGGCTTCTGAGATCTTAAAGCCCACCACCAGTATACATTTCCTCCAAAAGGCCATGCCTACCCCAATAAGTGCCACTCCCTGAATACCAAGCATTCAGATACATGAGTCTGTGGGAGCCATTCCTTTTCAAACCACCAGTATGAGTGCATGACAGATATATGAAAAGTCTTTTCTCTTTTTTTATTTTGGATCCCATGTAGCCCAGGTTAGCCTCAGACTTGCTGTGTAGCAGAAGGTGACCTTGAACTGCCTCCACCTTAAAAATACTGAGATTACTGACATGAGCTACCACACCCAGCTACACACAAAAGTTTTGCAGACCAAGCATTGTTTTACCTTTAGCCTTTTTTTTTTTTTTCTTTTTCTTTTTCTTTTTCAAGGCAGGGCTTCTCTGTGTAATAGCTCTGGCTGTTGTGGAACTTGATTTGTAGACCAGGCTGGCCTTGAACTCACATAGATCTGCCTGCTTCTGCCTCCCTAGTGCTGGGACTAAAGCCAGTCTTATTTTAGAGTACATATGAATGATTAAAAAGGACAATGCGATTTTTAATATGGTAATTTCTCTTGCCTATATTATTCCTTATGTAGCTGTTGTAATCTAATAAACCATTTACTATATAGTAGCTTTGTTTTATTTTATTACAGCCAATTATTAGGTAGACAGTAAGAGGCAAGAACAGGAGCCAGATACTTGGATTCAGTTTTGACTCCATGGCTGGTGGACTGACCATGTAATCATGGGCAAATAATCTAGCTCCTCAGAACTTCTATTTCCTCATGTGCAAAGTGAGTAGCATCCACTCACTTCCTAAGGATGTGGTAAAGGTTATATGAGTTAATATTACGTATTTTCCGTTTTTAAATTGAGTTTTGTGATCAAACTCAGTAACATGAATACCATTTCATCTGAATTTTCCACTTCTCACATTGCTGTTAGCAACGACCAAGAGTTCAGATTAAACAGAATAATACACTGACCTATTGGATTCTAAACTAAGTAAGAAAGTTGCCTGCCTGTGGAAAGTGCT